ATCCATCATCCATCGTATCGATCAGTCAGTCAGGATCAGTTTCAGTGAAGTTGAACAACCAGACTGTGTGATGTTACACTGTGTTGGAAATAAATGAACTAAAGGTTCAGTCTCCTTCATTACCGCTTTTTCCATTATCGTTATCGATGTAACTTTAGGATCAGTAATCTAACACATTCTTTCTGGACTAAATTTCACACATATTGTGAAAAGCATTTTTCAACCTGACCCGTTCTCTCAACTAGCTCTGTCATCTTTTTCCAGTAAGTATGAAAAAAAAAGTCTGTTTTGTTTGGAAAATGAACCGACATTATTGTGGTTGAGAGAAATGGCGACCACGTTTAATCTGGAGAGATTTTATAATGAAGATAGAGGAGGTATGTTTGATAAGATCTGGGTGAGGACTGATGTACTGTGTTCACTGTGAAGGGCCATGCTGTGTATATTCCTTTCATATAACAATGTATTTGCACTTCTGTAGTTTCTGTTTTTTAAGGAAAAGGCTTTGCGTTTAATACAATTATGACAGTGGTATCTGTTATTACTTAGAATGTGCTGGCTCCACTATAAAAATAATAAACATATGTTTTATTTTTTCTAGGCTGTAAGAAGCTGAATCATTAGATCAGGATCCAAACAATACAGTGGAGAGGCTCTAACGGGTTGGTGTCAGGCCTGATGTGCCACCACAAAGCCAAAGTCAACTGCAGTGAGCTACACGAGCGTCTGCACTCGTTTTTACAGCGTCGACACCCTCTCTGAGCCAGAAAAACTCCAAAAAATGACACAACGCAGAGACGGTGTGAGGCCAAAACCCAACACTGACTCAGAGCAGACGAACAATGCATTCCATCCTTTTTGGAAGGTGGCCGCTTCAAATTAGTGGTGTTCTGGACTAGAGAAGAGGTTTTCTTTTTCCAAAAACAAAGATCCTCTGACCTGTGTTGTCCTTAGATCTGGGCGCCGGGCTCCGCAGTGCTGCATGATCAAACGGACTGACGGTGGGCGCGCTCTGGTGAGCAAGAATTCACCTCGTCATCTTAATAAAGGCTCATCAGTGTAACCAAGCAGAGCTAGCAGGGCTAGTGTTGCTAACCCAGCGACCCCTGTGTTATCTGCTGCAGGCCGCGAGCCCAGGGAAGAGACCGGAGACCCAGGCCTGACCTCAGCCAGGCAGGAGGGGGCCGACGGGGTAATCTGTGCCCCATCTTAAGGCCTCCATCTTGGGCGAGAGGGCCAGAGGTAGAAAGGGGGGCTGTGGATGGGACAGCAGGCGGTCTCTTTGAAATGGAAGCCTGGGCAGGACATGAAGCGGACACGGCCAGGGAGGGGATGAACGGTGAGACAAGGAGCTATTCTTCTAGTGAGCGGGAGGGATGCTTATCTGTGTGTGTGTGTGTGTGTGTGTGTGTGTGTCTAGGATTACCGAGAAGCGAGCCACATGCGCTGACGGAGGGCTTCGCTGATGCCATTTCCTGCTGGCAGCGGCCTGTGTGAGTCAGTCTGGTAGGAGCGCAGCAGAAACAGCACCTGCATACACACAAACATACACTCTTCAACTGAGATACACACGTGAGAACAATCATTTACTTATACGTGAGACCGGGTCAGCCCCACTGACTGAAATGTTGCATCCACTAAAAAGAGAATTGCTCTGGATTAACAAACTACAGAAACTGAAAGCATAAGATGAAAACCCCCGGGTGTCTTTAACACTCACACAGAGGGGGGGAGGGGTCACCCTCACAGAAAACAGGTCCCTGATTCAGCTGGTGGCTTTCTGTTGGAGGAAGCATGTTCTCCCTGTGTCAGTGTGGGTTCCATCTGGATGTGTCACTTTCTACCACAGTCATTGAGAAACTCTACAGCCAGTAGGTGTGAATGTGTTTGCCTGTCTATATAAAGCTGTAAGCTCCAACCTGGACAGGACCTTTATACACTGTAATGAACATGTAATGGGAATGTGTATCATTAAACACACTGCCCCGCTCTGATTTGCAAATCCAATTCAGAGCAAATAAATCATGAAAAGCAGGAAAGAGTGTTAAAGTGTTAAAGACATGAATATTAATGACTGAATGACTTTGTTTTGCCATTTCTTGTACACATCCAATATTTACTCATGGCTGCTATGACGACCCAATTTCCCTTCGGGGATTCATATATATATATATATATATACACATTTATTTTATTTATAGAGAGAGAGAGAGAGAG